TATACTAGATAAGGATTAATGTAATAAAGTAGCCGTGTTGACTGTGTGTGAAGATATTCAAATCTATACTAGATAAGGATTAATGTAATAAAGTAGCCGTGTTGTGTGTGTGTGAAGATATACAAATCTAGACTAGGTAAGGATTAATGTAATAAAGTAGCCATGCTATGTGTGAAGATATATAAATTTATACTAGGTAAGGATTAATGTAATAAAGTAGCCATGCTGTGTGTGAATATATATAAATCTATACTAGGTAAGGATTAATGTAATAAAGTAGCCGTGCTGTGTGTGAAGATATACAAATCTATACTAGGTAAGGATTAATGTAATAAAGTAGCCATGCTGTGTGTGAAGATATACAAATCTATACTAGATAAGGATTAATGTAATAAAGTAGCCGTGCTGTGTGTGAAGATATACAAATCTATACTAGGTAAGGATTAATGTAATAAAGTAGCCATGCTGTGTGTGAAGATATACAAATCTATACTAAGTAAGGATTAATGTAATAAAGTAGCCATGTTGTGTGTGAAGATATACAAATCTATACTAGGTAAGGATTAATGTAATAAAGTAGCCGTGTTGTGTGTGAAGATATACAAATCTATACTAGGTAAGGATTAATGTAATAAAGTAGATAAGTCATGCCTGATAAAATTATTGTAATTTCATAATTACAGAAATTAATATGCATAAACAAACTATTCAACAGTGAATGGGATGTTTTACATTGATACATATATATTAATACTTGTTATCACTTACTGAAAATAGAATAAATTAGTGGTAGAGGCAAAGATCAAGACCGTTTATTTCCTAATGACGGCCGTAAGGGCAGGCCTTTTGAAATATTGTAAAGAAAGGGATTGTATGTTTTTTACAGATGAAAAGAACTTTGTTATTGGTTCTTAAGACTCGTAACGTAGCTATATTTATATATAGAATTATACAAGGACTTTTATTTGGAGCTTTGTTGCCGGATTAAGGCTACGGTAAAAGGATCGAAACTCAGAAGTAAAAGTATTTTAAGGTATAGAACGTTGTTATGTAAAAATGTCACAAATGTTCTGTTTGAAGTGAATACTACTAACGCAGCTAGTTTTTATTAAAAGGTAAAACTAATACCATAAAATCACAGTCAACAAGATCCACAATATAAACAAATTACGATAAAGGAAAAAAACAATCAATTCATAACCTACTAACTTTATGAACTGCTTGTGAATAATGGAACTTGTAGAATTATACACTCAATCTTCTCTACATTAAAATACTTTTATTTGCGAGCTTTTGGTCCTTTTACTGGAGCCTTCATCGGGCAATAATGTACTGAATGCTTTAGTAACAATGAAGAGGTAAGAGGGCCAAAAACTCAAAAATAAAATTATTTTAACATAGAGGAAAGTCCGTGTATAATTCTACATATTAATTTACCTATGTTTAGAGTCTTAAAACACAATAGTGGTCCTGGGTAATGCAGTTAAAATGAAAGAGGAACTTAAAACCAACAAATTTTGAACTGTTAACACTGACATTAGGTATTATTCAATGAAAATAGTTGGGAAATGAGAAGTCACTGGCTAAGTGCAACATTTACATTTAAAAAATCCTTTAGAAATATATAAAATAAAGAATACCATAAATTAAAACATTCAATCATTAAACTAATGACTTATAACTGCATTATTGCTTTCAAGACGATTGTCCCAGTTGGTGGTTTTAGCACCGATTTAAGCTCAAACTAGAGAATATTGTTAAATATAAGAATACTAAACTTTTCTATAAAATAATGAAAACATATTGAAAACTTAGCCCTTCTCATCTTATTCAACAGTAAACTAGAAAACTGGTTCAATCAAAAAAACAAGTGTCAACAAATGGAACTAGCCATTACAGGCTTATTAAGAAAGACTTCTTCATTACAACAGTCCCAATGTACAGCACAGTTGTTTCGTAAGGTGACGGAATGTACTGAGTAATCAAGAACTCATTTAACCAATAGTGTAGCAACAGCTGTGGAATGGACAACATCTCATAGGCATTCAAGACAAAACAATGTTACATGATACTTCTACGCGTTACAATCATTATTCTTTCACTCTTTATACAGGAAGGTTTACGAAACGAAAAATTACTTTTATGCAATATAGTATCAGTATAAACCCAAGTTGCTATTTTTTGTACTTTCATGCAATATAGTATCAGTATAAACCCAAGTTGCTATTTTTTGTACTTTCATGCAATATAGTATCAGCATAAACCCAAGTTGCTATTTTTTGTACTTTTATGCAATATAGTATCAGTATAAACCCAAGTTGCTATTTTTATATTGTGGATCTTGTTGACTGTGATTCTATGGTATTAGTTAT